AATGTAGTGGAAGTTATTTTTTTAACAACGTAATTTTATAGTAAGCACTAAACAATTTTATTCGTTAATTATCCCAGTACAGTTTAGTGGTATATCACCAGAAATTACCATTCCCGGCTCTATTGGGGGGGACGGGACGTTTTGAACGTGTTTACTCTTCAAAAATGCAATTACTCTATTTGTGTTTATTAGCAATATTCCATATTTTGTTCGATGAAATGACATTACGATTATTGTATAATATATTATTTCCCCGATAATCGTAAAACAGTTGTATTGATACACGAACAACAGACGATTTTTCAATGCGTTAACGATTTGAGTCTCGAACTCAAAATACGTTCACCAGAAATACATATACACTGTACACACATACATATAACAATAAGTCGCATGTAAATTATGCGCGCTATTCATGCGTCTCGTTGACCCACACACGGCCTTACAGTTACATTTGTTATATGGACCGGAATACATAATGTAGTATTACATATATAACTATATATGTATTGTACGGAACAAGACCTAGGCGGCAAAGCCAAGACTTTCACATTTCTCAGGACCGTGTGTCATCGCTTGTCGTGTTGTATACATTATATTTTATTGTTATTATCGGAACGACCAATCGCGGGTTAAAATTATGTTATACAGTAATATAATAATAATAATAATAATAATATAATAATAATAATAGCTGTTGTATGTGTATGATGTTCCGCGGGTTAAAATGAGCATTTTATTGGTTGTGTGTGTTATTTTCCCAATGAAGAATCACACTCTGAAATCGTGTCAAGCGTCTCGTCATTGGGCGTTTTCGGCATTTATGGTTGAAAAATCAATACTAAAATCGGACCACCCCGCCTAGTTCTTTTTGAAAACACCGTGACCGACGCGCCGCCGCGGCTTCTCGATTCCCAATAGCGCTTGGCAGTTATGAGTTCCAATTTAGGTGTCCCGGTAATCTTACAGGATGTCGAACACAACTATTCATCCAACGGTTGTACTCGGGTAGAACATAATCGGTGTCCGACGTCCGTTTAATGATAATTTTGATGAATGCATTTTTGCGGTGTTCATTTTATTCTAAATATAAATACTTGCAATTAAATTGCATCTACACAGTATTTCCATAATCTACTGTTATACCGAATAGTAATGGTTATGGGGGCACCCAAATCATTATTAAAATTATTATGTGGTGTTACAACGCCCAAACACTCAAACCGGCATTACTCCAAAGAATAATTTTGGAGTAAATGTATGATGGAAAGTGATAATTTTGTACTAGGACATTTTATTTCGACGTTAGATATCATCTCTATTCTCCAGGACGCATTTGAGGCCACATCACCAGGCACACAACAATAGTATATATATATTAGACATTCCAGTGTACATAATTTCAATGTGAAAAAGCTTTCATCGATTAAATTATTAAATTGATAATCTTCGGATGTATTCGTCCATTTCTTGCTGACGTTTCGGACTCGTTCCAGAACCTATCTTCAGAGCAATAGTCGCCGTTAGCGGAACGGTGACTATGGCGCAACTGACTAGTCTCTTTAGGATCCCCCGTGGAATCCTGGGCATTCCCAGGGACTCCGTGGAAATTTCCAGAGAGACCCTGTGCAGCTAGAGCCATCGATATGTACGGGAACGGTGTATTTAGTATTGTGTGCTCTTTACGAGAATATTGTACTACGAGGCGTTCGTACAAGGAAAACCGTTGGCACCGTTGTAATATCTGCTGGACGTCAAAAATAGGTACATAATTTGTTCTATCAATAGGTAGGACGCGCGTACTGTGCGTATATGTTATTATTATTGCCGCACTCGACCACAATCCGGACGAATGAATACACGAGTCAACAGGCTGAGACCGCGGTTATAGGTGTGCAGACCCGGTGTTTGAACTAGGTACCAACTCATCCAGTATACAACAGACCATACTATAAGTAAACGCTATAGGTGTTACGCATGATTTGTTTTATTTTTCTCCGTTCAAATCGATACCGGCAAAGATTAGAGCACAGTTTGATTCTATGGTATTTCGTACTTTTTTTCAATACTCTTTTTTTTTTTTATTTTTATGTCCGTTGTCTACGCCGTATTATTTCCGCTAAATGGCTCACGTCAGACTCGCTCGAGTATCGTTTACACCACCAAATTATCTGCAACGCGGCGACCGAAGTAGTCCGTCGTCGACATAACACACAATATTGTTGTGTGTGTATATATATATATATATACTGTACATTATACTTAACGGGGCCGCCGTTCGGTTTTGGTTTCGGGGTAGCTCCACAATGGCCGAAAATTGCACAAAGATGCAGGGGCGGGATGTCAATTCAGCCGTGATGTCTTCCGAATAATGCACCAAAGCGGTGTCAACGACCGCTACGATAAAGTGGTCGAGCCTGATCAAACAAAATATGTGATTTGATGAAATAGTCGTAGACTTTTGAGAAGCTTTGCTTCGAGGTAGTATAGAGACGCTCGGGTTCGTGTACTGTATAGTATGTGCATTACAAATGAATTTCTTCTCAATGTCCTACGCATTACAGTCTCCTGACAATTATTGACGTTCTATTTGTTTTGATCGTGTATATGCGCATTAATGACCGACTATGAGATTTTCTTTCTGATAACCACGAGAATACGTATACAAAGTAGGGCTCCCTATTTCACGTGAATCACGGCTCACGGATTCACGTGAAATTAATGACGAGTTTATAAGACCCGTGATTGGAAATTGTCCGTGAATTTAAAATTTTATTCACGTGATTCACGTGATATACGTGAATATCACGTGATATCACGTGAATTTTGTACAACGTATTCACGTGAATTAAACATACGGATTTTATATTACTTTTATTCACGTGATCACGGAACCGTGATCACGTATGTATTATTTCACGTACGAAACCGAGACCCCTAATACAAAGGTATCACATTTGGCGATGACATTGGCATGTCAATTTGCATTAAGCGTTTTCTCGTATTGCTTTGAAAGTTCATTGGCGCCGTGCTACTGTCCATTCGGTTCCTTAACCCTGAAAGTAGCGTCAAGTAAATAAAAAAAAAATGTGAAACTATTCTCACAAACAATTCGTCGTGAGCATAGAGTCTGTAATCGGTTAAGTACTAAGATAGATAGATAAGATCAGTCATGACTGGGTTTGTTCAAATTTCGTACTTAGTACAAAAAAACCAACAACGTTTAAGGTCTAAAAAAAGACCTAAAGCGTTTTGGTCTCGGTCTACAGTTCACACTACCAGGTTCCATCTACCGCCGCAGTTATTCCTGGATAGTGAATAATGGACAAAAAAAACCTAAACCGTTAGATCCTTTAGGCTATTTTAACGGTTACCGTTTGATTCACCGTGTGTTAGAATAGAAATCGAAATCCGCGTGGATCCCGGCTATTACGTTAAATTAAGTAATCCAAACTCATAACGATCACTCGTGGCGTTCCGGCAACAAAACGGTTTCGAGCGTCTGACGGTAGCTGTTATATTGAGAAACTACATAATATAGATACTAATATTAGTATTGTCTCGTACTCTGTTGGCCGTCATAGACCCGAAGTACATAATATAATATGAATATGTGTGTAAGTTGTTAAATTGGGAGCCCCCCCCCCCCCCCAAAAAAAAAAATAGACACCGATTTATCCAAATACGGTTTTGCTTTTTACAAGTTATGTATAATGTTTCACGTCTGACCTCTCCCATTATAGACTTCTCAGTGCTGGCGCCTTTGCTCAACGCCGAGGATCCGCAGACGACACGCGTTTTTTAACGATGGCCATTGGCGATTACCATCTGGATGTTTTCCCGAAAGGCACGGCTCGCAGTTTTTTTAAATATTATGTTCTTTGGTTAGCTTCGAGATCGGACGGCTCGATAACCGCGGATTTAATGGTTTTTCAAACATCTCGGTCCGAACGGGGGGAAACGCGACATGTCTTTGACGACAAACGGCCAAAACTGGTTTAAAATGTAACATATTTTTGTACCGCGTTATCGGTGGCAGGCCGAAACTGACAGCGCGTTCCAAATCCATTTACGTCCCGACTATGTCGATACGGTTCTTGTTTTTTTTCGCACAGGCAGTTCAATTCAGCCATTGCGGTTTAGCACAAACAACGAGCTGTCAGGCCAGTTCAAAAACCCTACTCACCCCCGACCGACCAGAGTTGTGTTGTATACACAACCCTAACCGTGTATAATCTACTTTGTGCTTGTAACGACTTTTCTGACCCAAATGGTTAGCAATTTTAAAACGTAACGGTCGCTCTAGAGTCGACTCTATCGCGTTATACTCCATAATTTTTCCAAAAAAAGTCTTCAACATTGAGACAGCGACTCGATAGTAGGTATATTGTAAGCGGTCGTGTGCAGCAAGCAGCCTCTGTTGGTTTGAATTTTCTGTTCTTTTGCCGTCTAATTGATTAGTCGGCAGCCGCCAATCTACGATATGTACCGAAGGTGCGATTACTTTATCGATGAAACGTCGTTTCCTGTCACGGACACGACCAGACCGGTTGGTTTGACTTGGCTCTGGTCGAGACACTTTGAGAACTCAACGCGGTACTTTACAGAATGAAACCGGTAATCTGTGTGTGTGTGTGTGTGTGATGGGAAGATTTCGAGGGAGTTCACGCCCTCCTAGGAATCGTTTCCACTATACTCGTGTGTGTGTGCGTGTAATATAGTATAACCTATTTTCCATAGCTAATCATATATTTCTTGTATAGTAAAAACACGAACGTATCCGAACGCATATTATAATTATACCGGTTGTACGACGATTGGGTGTATTCGATAAAAATAATAATAATTAACCGACCAGGCGGAAAAAACGGAATGGACCGCGGAGTATGTAATATTTTCTGCGATACTAACTGGATTGTGCTGAAAAGTTATGTTAATAAAGCTAATGAGTAACAATATACGTTTGTAATTATAATATACGTGTGTGTATGTGTTTGCAGAATGAAGAGACATGAAAATTGGTCACCAATGAAGTCATCGCGCGACAGGACGCTGTTGTTTATGACGTGCGTTACCGGACTGATCATAAGCAAGAGTTTGCACGTGAAGGCGTCGCCCACGTGGGACACGCAGAACTCGATCACAGGTAATTCCTCTTCTAAACTGACAAATACCTCAAGTGCATTTGTAACAAATATAAATATAAATTGGCCCACTAGTTGTTTAATATAGCCATCAAAGATATCATAGGTTTATACCATAACTTAACGTTGAATAGTGCGAGAATTAGGACTAAGCTTTATTATTACAATAAGTAAATAAATCATGAATACTGAGTATGTATTTGAGCAGCAATTCCTTTGTGTCTATAATGAACCATAACTGTAACTCTATTGTACTGTTTCTGGAGATGTATGTAGGAATGAGGAAATACAATATCGGGCTCGTCGTTGATTATTATACTTAACCAGGTTTTTTTTTTTTTTAAAAACCGTGTACAAATGTAATTAAACTTGAACGGTTAACCCGGTCTCGAGAAAACGGAGGAAAGGTGAAATGAAAACACGTGTCACTTACAAGAGAATAAAATTTAAAAAAAAACATAATATAATACATGATGACCATAAAAAAAACATAACTACAGTACTGTCGTACGGTCATTCCTTTATCTGAAACTACAAGGGCTGCGATAACCAAAAGCCGTATGTTTTGGAGCCTTCCAATGACAACACACTTAAAGAAAGCTGGGTTAATGAACAGACCTGATGGGAAGTATAGGCACCTCAACTGTGAAAGCGTGTCGTTAATTCACACATGATAATGTATAATATATTGTATTTTATGTATATATGACCTTCCGATCCCCGATTGTATTGATCTACAATATTTTTAAAAACTTCCATGGAAATACCACATTAAAAAACCCCACGGCGGGAAGTGTGCATGTTAAGTGGAACGTCGGACAAACGTGAGTTTTACACCGACGATGATAATAAAAAAGTATAATACAATATCGATTCCAAATTCCGTTTAACTTCCATTTCCATATCATATATCGTATAGTGTATTTCGTCGGTGACCAAATTATAATACGGCGTTTAATAACCATTACACACACACACACATAGAGGATAGGACAATGCACAAGCACAAACATTGGCGCATACATTAAAAAACTTGTTTTTCCACTATATTTTTTATACCACTTTACGGGTACGAGTTTTTTTTTTCGTGGGCACAATACCAAAGACGAGATAACCGTTAATCGAAACACACACACACAATCTACTGACCTACAAACTGCCCAGACAACTGTGAGGCGCATTGTCTATCCGGGCAAACGTTGAGTCGCCGCTTAGGTGGACGACGAAGGGGGGGGGCACATAATAATAATATATGGGTACTTACACGCCTATAATAATCATTATATGTATATATGTATATATTGCAGGTAATATATTGTGTATTAGGTACCTATAATAATATACATATCCAATTCGTCGCGGCGATCGATGTAGATATTTCCTTAATAATAATTGTTTTTACCGACATCGGACATCGCGTATAAAAGCCGTCTGAACCTTTTACTATATGAACCATTAAAAGCATTACTTTAAAAAACGATGACCTTAAAATGTACATAAGCACTTGCAAAACAGCTGTCCAGTGTCCTAAGTATTGTCAATTAATGAAAAAATAATGGTTTAAATATATTATATAAAAAAAAAAAACATTTTATTTGTGTTAAACTAAAAAAATTGAAAACATAAGCTTTAGAACCAAGTAATAATCGTTTAAATTTCATACAACGAATAATAATATGTGATAAGAAAAAATATAATTAAATTGAATGCAATAAATACAATATAATCTCTATATAATTTATATTTTTTAAGTTTTCGTGACAATAGAAAAACAACTACAAAATATTTGTCTCTCAAAGTGAAAATCCTGAGAAAAAAAATATATATATGTGTATGTGAATGTATAAATAATTCAAATAGTGGTCACTGGTGTGCCGGCCAGACATATTATGTTCCACGCCATTGCTTGCCTTGCCATCAACATTTGGGTGTTAATTTTTAAACAGGTTATAGACACACGGTTTATACACGAATATTAGTCGCTAATTCGTAATTATAGATTGATTATCGTGCAACATATGAGTGCATAATAGTCACTGGTCAGTGGGTTTTAATGGTTTTGACCCTAAATTTAATAAGTGCAAACCGCTAACCGGTAAATGTAACCTATATGTTTATATCTATTTATAATATAACCTACTATATTATTGTATTTTTTAGTCGTTATAGAACAACATAACACACTTTGTTAACACCATTATATGCAATTTGAACCTACATTACTTATATATATATATATTGTTTTGTAATTCTTTATTATGTATTTTTACCGAGCACTAATTTTGTACTTGGACTATTGGTCTACAATAAATACAAAATAAAAAGTTAATTTAGTTAATAAAACTACATTATGCAAAAAAAACTTTTTAAAAAAAATGAACGCAATGCATACTTATATGTTTACATTAATTTTATCATTGTATTAGGAACTTTAATTAGTGTAATGTATCATTGGCAACTCTAATGCGGGTATTCATTACCATACCCTAAATAATTTGACTAGATAAATTGTTATCTCTCTCGTTCTCTCTCTTCGTCTTTCTAAATATTCTATCTTTCATTACTTTTTCATGCAGTTCGAATAAATCTAATATATTTTTTCCAAATTTTATGTCAGCATACTTTATTACCCATATAATATTATGCTGGAAACCTGCAGAGCTCGTAACACAAGCGTGGTACATCTAATCAACTGTCGGTTCGTGCCAATTGTTGTTAATTGTTGTTGTGTTTTGTCGTTACAGATTTCGGACGCAACATCAGACAATTGCCTTGCGTTAGCCGGAGAACGGGCGAGACGGGAACATGCATGTTCGCTTACTCGTGCGCCAAAGTCAACGGCACGCACTTGGGCACGTGCATAGACAGGTTCTACTTCGGCAGCTGCTGCAAGACCCCGAACAACGTCGAAGTCGAAGTTAACGAGCCCGACAATTACTTGACCAACTACGATAACGACGTGGCGTCCGTGACCGGCACCGGCGTCAAACCGTTCGGCCAAACCAGCACGGACCGTATCCAAGCCAGTTCGTCGGCACCGTCGACGTCGTCTTACAAACCCACGTCGCAGTTCTCGGTGCATCCGTCGTCGTCCACGACCAGCACCAGCACGTCCAGAAACCAGTACACCCAACAGCCGTCGTCCACGGCCACGGACGGCCTGACCAAACCGGCGTACTCGTACGGCACCACGGCCAACTCGGTCGCTCCGGCGTACTCCTCGACGCAGACGGCCAAACCGTTACCGTCGTCCACCACGGCCAAACCGTCTTCGCCGACGGCCAAACCGACGAGCTCGTTCAGACCACCGTCGCCGCCGCCGATTAGAGACCAGGCGACGACGGCTCAAAAGCCTAAACCTCAAACGGCCAAGCCGACCGTGCAGTTCACGGTTCCGGGATCGACCGTCGGAACGACGAGCTACCAAACTCCGTCGTCGACGGCCGCGGTCACCCAAGAAGGCCTCAAGCCGACCAGCACGTACACGGCAGTCACGTCGATGCGGCCCCTGAACGCCACCACGGTCACGGCCACGTTTTCCACGACCAAACCCGTGGTGAAACCTTCGTCGTCGTCGTACCCGCCGTCGACGTCGTCGACCACGTACAAGTCGACCACGTCGCCTTCGTCCACGACGGTTGCCACGTCTGCGTCACCGCCGCCACAAAAGGCCAAGCCGCAGACGGCCAAACCCGTGACCGGCAAGCCCAAACCACCGACGTCCGCTAAACCGTCCACGGAACCGTCGGCGGCGCCGTATTCGGAATCCACCACCAACGGAATCCGTGCGACCGTCGAAACCGTAACCAGGCCGTCGTCGACGGTCACCGTCGGCTCGTCTTCCGCGGCCACCGGTCGTCCGGACCAGACCATCAGTTACGGGCCGACAACGGTCACGTCCACTTCGCCCACGCTGGTCACGTGGACAACACTGGACAAAGTGCCTGTGATACCGCCTGACCACACGAAACCTCCAACCGCCTCGCCGGTCCCGAGCAGTAAGTATAGTGCTCGAAGCGCATTCCCGTTTACTATAATTGTACGACGACGACAGAACTTGACTTTATAAAATAAGATAAACTGAACTTCAAGTGGCAATATTACATATTTTCTTTTTCATACGGCCTCATTTATTTATGTTTGATTTGTAGTAGAATTAGTATAGTTTTGTCGTTAGTTTAGCATACAAGTAGATGTAAAGCTCAATGTAGCTACTAACCTTAAAGAATAAGCTCACTACCTAATTACATAAACCAATACAATAACAGTAAGCTAGCTTCCCCTAAAGGAATACCTTGAAGAATTATTACCTCAAAGAATAAGCTCTTGGTTGCGATTAAGTTTATTTTCATCCCGTTCTTTATCGGCACAGTACCGAGTTGCGTTATGTTAACTTTAGCCTCTTTTTTTTTTTTCGTTTTCAGTGACGCACAAACCGACAGTACTCGACGGTTCCACGTTACCTTCGTGGGTCAAACTCCCAGTGGAAACGCACGAACCCAACACGGTCGCTACCATGCCGGTAAAGGAAAGTAGTACCAGTGGTACTAGTAGTGCTAGTAGTAGTGTTAGCTACAACTATGGTAGCAGCAGCACCGGCACCAGCAGCAGTAGCAGTACCAGCAGCAGCAGCAGCAGCAGTACTAGTACAGACTCGTATTCACCGACCACTCTCGTGTCCAAACCCAACACGGTGCAGAGCATATCCGACAACGAGCTTATCGTCACTTCCAGCGGTATCAACAATAACAATTACAGCAGCACGACCTATCCTTCGACGAGCATTGGCATTGGCAGCAGCAGCAGCACCAGCACCAGCAGCACGTCACCGATGATGTCGAGCACCGTGGTCGACCCGACGGATTCCAACGAGGCCGGCAGCGCGCCTCTCAACATGTCCAACTACAAAGACGGTCAGTATAAGTATATTATATCGTCGTTATATAATAGCGTCGTTAGTTGGCCGATGGTTAAAACGACACGGTATAGATTGTTGTTACGAATGATAATAATAATAATTGTTTTTTTTTTCTCTATCGTTTATATGTTCGATCAGTGTGTGGCAGAAGACTGTTCCCGACCGCTAGGATCGTAGGCGGCGAAAAGGTGTCGTTCGGCAAGTGGCCCTGGCAGGTGAGTAATTATTGTAATAGCGATTTGACAAAACACAATATAACGCTCATCGGACGGTTGTTACAGATCTCGCTAAGACAATGGAGGACGTCCACGTACTTGCACAAATGCGGAGCGGCTTTGTTCAACGAAAATTGGGCCGTCACAGCCGCGCATTGTGTCGAAAAGTAAAATCAAAATTATTACTACATTCATGGGCTTAACTATTTTTCACAAACAGTAACCGTGGGTAGATAATATCGTAGATAGGCACCTCTAAAACGTCTGTGGTAACCACCACCCCTGAGGATTGGCGGCGTTAAACGTTTTGGGTATCTGAATCTTCTGGGATAGAGAAGCTATCGTGTCAATATTAATAAGCATATTATCATGCTTCCTATTCAGTACAACCGAAATATTGCGAATTCAAATAAGAGGGTATTTAAAAAAAAACCCGACCATCCGGGGATCGCTTAACAGTTATCGATACGTGTCTGTGAATAGCTACGCCTCTGAATCTTATTACTGGGTACACATATATACATATATTAATGTCGGGTATTTTTTTTTTCTTCTATCCTCTCAGCGTTCCGCCGAGCGACTTGCTGTTGAGACTGGGCGAACACGACCTGTCCATTGAAGAAGAACCGTACGGTTACGAAGAGAGGCGCATACAGATCGTGGCTTCCCATCCGCAGTTCGACCCGAGGACCTTCGAGTACGACTTGGCTCTGTTGCGGTTCTACGAGCCCGTCAAATTCCAACCGAACATCGTGCCCGTGTGCGTGCCCGAGGACGATGCCAATTTCGTGGGTACCTCGGCCTACGTGACCGGATGGGGAAGACTGTACGAAGGTAAGCGCCGACGACGACGACGTGGAAAAGAACCTTTTAAACGAAAAAAAAAATCTCTCATAGCAAGACGTTTTGGGTGAACCATAAACCGTTGCTAGTACTCGAGCGACCGGAACACCGGGTTTTAAACCAAACTACAAAACATAGCGCTTCAATTGTAAAAAAAAAAATCCTGACTACAGCGTCTACCCACCCACTCGTCTGACGTTGACTGGAGTCTTTAGATGTTGTACGAAAACCTCAAATTTTATACTATCGTATCCTTATCACTTATAACGTCAACGGGCAAAAACATTTTACCAAAATTCCCGTGTGTATAGTTAACATTAACATTAACCTACCCTAACTGGCCTGCTCCCTGACCAGGCTGACCCTGTACCCTAAACCCTGTAGGCTGTACCCTCCCGACTATGTTTTTTTAATTCCGGAATTTATATAATATTATGATTGCTATTGTTTGACTAAAACTTGTGTGTGATTTCTTTTTTTTTTTTAGACGGTCCTTTGCCCAGCGTACTGCAAGAAGTCACCGTACCCGTGATCAACAATTCGGTGTGCGAGACAATGTACAGAGCGGCCGGTTACATCGAACACATCCCGGACATATTCATCTGTGCCGGCTGGAAGAAAGGCGGTTTCGATTCGTGCGAGGTGCGATTACATATTATTTTAAACCTATTTCGACTGTTGAATGAAAAGTGTCGAGCGAACGATAGAGAAGAAGAAGGAACACACAATGTGTATAACAAATTTTAGTAAAGAAAACCAAGTAGTAGAATTTAGATTTAGAGAAATTATATAGATTTCCGAGGAGGTGGATGTAGTGCAAGCGAAAATCATGAGGATGGAAGCTATTGAAGCTTGGAAGCTAGAGAGAGAGAGGTGAGAGAGAGAGAGAGAGAGAGAGAGAGAGACTATAGAGACTAACTATTGAGAGACAATATACTTTGGAATTATTGTTTTGAAAATGAATAAAACCGTTGTTATTTTTCAGGGCGATTCCGGTGGTCCAATGGTCATCCAGAGGCCGGACAAGAGATGGCTGCTGGCCGGCATCATATCCTGGGGAATTGGATGCGCCGAACCCAATCAGCCCGGCGTGTACACGAGAATATCGAAGTTCAAAGACTGGATCAATCAAATATTGCAATTTTAAACGAAACACACGACGATCCGTCCAAAATAACGAAATACTACTTGAACCAAAAAAAAAAAAATACAAATAGAAAAATCTGCAACGAAGCCATCGGCATTTTCAACAATTTAATATCGTATAGCTGCACAAAGACCGATTCTTGTTAAAAAAATTGTTCCTAAGTTCTATAGAGTAGGTCTGTGTCGCTAATATACAACAATGTGCACCAGCGCACAAGCTCTTACAATAGATGTACATAATATTATTATTATTTTCATCGATACACTTTTTTTCTTTTTCGGTATTTGTTTCGACAAAATTTGGCTTAGGCACACTGGTCACTCTATCCAATATGTGCCGACGAAATATATTAGGTATTATTTGTTTTGTAGTTTTTTTTTTTTTTTACCAATTCTGTTTTTTAATATTTGCATCGTTGATAATCATCTACTGGTATTTCATTATTTATTCCAGCTCGATAGATAGTGTTTAAAAAATAAAAATAAATTGAAAAGTTTATTGCAATAACAATAAGAGTAATATAATATTATCTTTAAATATATACTGTATGTATAAACAGTGTATACATATATAAGTATTTATATATATATAATATTTGTGAGCAAAACCAAAGGATGTTTTTTTAATTTTTTGCAACCCAAAGAAAGAAAGAAACACACCCAAAATTCAGGAATATTAATATTAACTGCAATTGATCAGTATTATTATTATTATTATTATTACAAGACATTTTTTTAATGGGCTTAATTGTAAATTTATATTTAAATGGCTTGCCCTCTTTAAATAACAAATTGTGTATATACTAGATACGACAAATTATTTATTTATTGTTAATATATTTTATTGTATCCAAAATTGATTAAATAATATTATTTTATTCGCCTATTAGAAATAATGGTTTTCTTCTCGGACAAATTTTAAATAAGTAGATCTAAAAAATTATTTCAAATGTCATTTTAACAAATTTTTAGTATTTTATTTTATTAGTATTGTGTTTTTTTTTTTTTTTATACAACATAATATATGTTAAAGGTTACGGAGTTTGTGCTCAAATAATAATAATTGTTTGATGGGTAATTTTTTTTTTACAGAGATTTTTTATCGGGCACTTGAAATGTTATAGTAATTTATTTCTTCTAGTTGTAATTACGCATACCCGCAGTTTAATTTGTTGTTAATATATTTCATATTTTTTTTTTTTCTTAAATTTAAGTTACTCCTACGTATTGTGATATAACTTAATGGTAATAATATTTACACATAAATTATAAATATAGTTATTACTACATTCTCAATCATAGTTTACACGCTTAAACGTTTAGCAAGCTAAACTACCTTATCCTTTTAGATTAACAACAATAATGTGTAATTATTTTGTACGCTATACATTAGGTTTCAACAATGTATATTATTTATATCAACAAATTTTATAATTGTTTTATTATTATTATTATTATATTATTATTGAAATTATTAGGTATTAGTTGTAGTAAAATTTAATAATTTATTACGGATAAAATAGATATTACATTTTTCAGTATACTGGTTGCTTTATTTATATATAATATGATGTATCATAAAATTCCCACAATTTCAATTCTTTCACAGCGACGCGAAAGTTTTGCAACAAACAATATTTTGGTTTAATACCCGTGTATAGTTGAATCACACAAAAGGTCGTGTAAGTTTGCTCATAAATCTATTTTGGTACTTGTATAATTTGTATTTAGATAAATCTTAATTACATCTAAATCTCAATTTAGATAAATAGAAGAATGAAAAATATTTCGTATAGATTTCTGAATTCAGTAAGTGAATAAAAAAAAAAAAAAAATGACAAAGTATGAATGAAATATACCTATAAAAAAAAAAAAAATACTACTACAACTACTACTTTTTTATAGTAAAGTTAAATATATCACTTCGTGTTAATGTCTTGGTTTGCTACATTCGTGTAATTATTATTTTTAATTCAAATGATCTCATGTCCTTTAGTCATTTACAAAAAAAAACAAATTTAACGTTACACCGGTTGTCTGATAATTTCAAATTTCAATAAGTAGTTTAATGTTTTTCTAAATACCTAGCTAGGTTCCTCGGTACCTATTGTGTACCACAGACCAGACTACAATATCATTCAAATACAGTATGTGTATATTGTATTATTTTCGTATAGTCTGCGATTGTGCTTGGCCCGCTTGCTTATTCGTTTTTAACTAGTAAAAGCAGGGTTTTAACCTCGAGACACATTGAAAATATGTTAAACATAATAGACAATAACAATATTATCACGTCTAACGTCAATGATTTTCATCGCTGTCGTGGTGAAACATGAATATTCTTATACTTAAATAAAACGATAAATTTATCACTCTGTTGTTAATATTAATGTCATTTGTTTTGTATTGCTTACCGTGATAACAGTCGTAACGGGTGATAACACTATTGCGGTTTACGCTGTTACCGCGGTATAACCGCGAATCGGTTGTACTGTTTACCTCCAGCAAACCACGAGTAACAACGGGACACAATGTCCCCGGAGTCCGGACTAAAACGCCCCACAGCGTTATTATACTTACTACACAATAATACGTCTATCGAGTAGCTAGTTTAAATGTTTAAAGAACTTAAGAACACTGAAATATTAAATAAACTTGGGTGTGTGAAATAAGTAATAGAAAAATTTGTCATGCTAAAGGCAAACACTAAGGTTAAAGGCGTGTGTGCGAGTTTTTTTTTTTTAATAAACGACCATATTATACTGTTATGTAGTTAACTATATTATTATAATAGTGCGTTTACGATAAAACGTGTTGTATAACTCGTTTTGCCAACCAGAACCCTATTTTTAGGGTAACCCTTTACCTTTTCAAATCTACACAGCGACCCATAGAATCGAATTTATATAGGTACGTATTTACCGTGCACATTTACATTACAATTTACCTAGGTTTAATGGGATTCGAGATACCCGAATTAGATTATAGTTCATTATATTTTAATAAATAACCGACGCATAATATGTAAATATATATATATATAGATAGTAATTATAGTAGTTATATTCACAGACTAATGCACGTTGTATACTTATAATATATATAATCACAAAATGTACGTAAATAAAGTAAAAAAAAAACACAATATTGCATACATATCTACAACTATTGCGGTCGTGTTGCACGGATGTGTCTTATAGGACAGTCGAAAATAATTGATTAGGTATTTTATGGTCATTAAATTATTGTTTGTAATCGAATTTTCGGTAAAGTTGAAAACGCGTTGAAAAAAAAATTACTAAATCGGTGCGTTCGGATTTGCCTCTACCTTTTTAAAAAAAAAAAAACTGAACCGAGCTCCTGTCTATGTTAAACAAATGATATTACTTATTAGTAAACATTTCACTATTGAAAATACAATATACATGTTTTATATTTGATAAAATATTGTAATTTGATAACTAAATCGGTACCACGCAAATAATAATTTACTGGGCTTTTATCGACAAGACACTTAAGTTGTTAAGTACTTTTATTTTAGTTAAACAAATAATCTCTTCTCATTTTTTTGACCTTTCAAAATGGAGTAACGATTATATTATTATTAGCTCCCCACCTTGTACAATGCCCATGTTATTTGTGAAGAATTTTATTTCGAGTGACGATAAGTTTCAATGTCGCAGTTGACATATTATTATATTAACAAGTAGGCATATCGTACACCGTATAATATGTATTATGTATTATTGTTATAATTTTATATGTATATATTATGTTTATAAGAATATCAAATTCTTTTATTTGAATATCGGTCTGTTCCTACTACTATTACACCGTTCGGATGACACTGTATACACTACGTACATTAGATAATAATAATATATAATAGTATATCATTACACTCTATACCGTAAGTATTATATTATACAATGATACATGATACATAATACAAAAAACCGGGCAAGTAAAAAAAAAAAAAAAAAATTAAGAAATGATCTCGCATCGTTATGATAATATTATTGCGCACACCGTCGTCGGCTGTTGCGCGTACGACGGTGCGCAACGTAACGTCACGGCGCTACGACCGTCGAAATCGAATACCTACCAGCAGCAGCAGCAGCCGCCGCCGCCGCAATGTTTAATATTGTATTATACACACACGCACACACACACACACAGACAATACAAACGGTGTATATACATCTATATAACGACCGTGTGTGCCACAACAGATGATTGGCTCGACGACCCGCAGCAGACAGCAGCGCCTAGCCAACAGCAGCAGCAGCTTTGCAAACGCGGAACGCCGCAGTCGACGAAACAATATTATTGTACCTACTCTACAGCTCCACTATAACTGTCTGCTGATAACTCTGCCTCCGTCGGTGTTGCGTGTGTGTGTGTGTGTGTTTTTGTTGTTGTTGTGTGTCATAAACGTATGCGCTCGGATTTCGTGCCGTCCTATCTGCGATCGAGCGCTCGTCGCGTTAACGTATCCGCCGTCGTCGGGACCGTGTACCGCCGCCGCCGTTGTGCTGATCCGGAGAGTGCACATCGTATTGCGTGTTCGCCGCGCCACCGCGTTTGTCGTCGCTCGCCGTAAAAGCGGTCAAGCGTTTTTCCTGTACATTGTTGTACGTCGTTGTACGGTCTTGTTGCGCGTTGACGGCGATCGCGCGCGCCGTTAACGATCCGGTCATTTTGCGCTCTCGGGGCTCGGCCGCCGCGCCAACCCCATATTGGACATGACCGCGGCCTTACCGTGAAAACGCCGCTCGCTCGCAAATATTGCCCCCGCACACCACTTATGGTCGACAATTTTGGATTTCGGCAGGTTCGCGCGCCCGCAGACCGCCGCGGATGTGATGCCCATCGTCCGCACCTCGATCGACGCCAACGGACGATACGACAGCTGTGACCGCCGCAGTCGATACGTTAACCGTAAGTGACGAATACAATATTTACCCTTACGTACGAACGTGAGTGGTATAAATTTTGGTGTTTAAATTTTGGTTGACGTTTTGGCCTGCGTCATTAAGGTTTTTCCTCGTATTATTATATCCACGACGTTTAAGATTGCCGCTATATAGCGAAGAGTTGTATTGGCCAGACGCGTCCAAACGCGACTTACGATGACTTTGTTGTAAATTTAATTAACGATATCTTTGGACCTTCTGCTATTTGCCATTGTTAGAAATTACGATTACGACTAGAAATCGCTATACGATTAGAACGACGTGGTAATTGTGGTAAAAAAAAAAAAAACCAATGTTCGAAACAGACGCAACCGCACACTATTAGTGTAATTGTTTAATTTACCATTGAAAATATAATGATGAGACGAATGCTACTAATATCACTGTAATCACAATTCCGGGATTACATAAAGGTTAATTAATAGGTAAAATCGATACTTATGGTATCTATTAATTTAACCGTTATTGTTAAAAAAAAAAAAAACCTTAAAACTTTTGTACTGTTAAATTGAATGCGGGATTAGACGGTGATACATTAAAACTATACACAATTAGGTCATACTAATGAATAGATAAGTATGTATGCCTATGTAATAATATGCAAGTTTAAAATATAATGTTAAAACAATATAAATTATTAGATAATAGATAAGACGCTCATTTTGTTCTTGAATTAATTTTGTAATTTTTCTTTTTCAAGCCATTTTTGTTTATATGCTATTTAAAAATACGTTACAAAATGATATAGGTACAATTAAATATATATTTTACGCTGACTTTAACTCTAACTGAATATTTCCGTATTTTTACTGTTTTCCAGAACTTTATCGACTTTTGAAACTTTTATAAATTAAATTAGGTTAAATTAAGAATAATCGGCTGATCATTTCGACTGGTCGATAACCAGTTTAGGATAATTAATTTTATTAAGTTATTTAACTTAATAAACTTATAAAGTTATTTTTAAGTTATTTGAGTTTAAAAATTATGACTGGAGGGGGGGCAGTGCAGTTGAGTAATGCGCACAGATAAGGATAATACTTTATTCAACCTTTCAGTGATATATACCTAATTAAAGTAATAGATATGTCCCCAAAAAGAAAAACTATAAAATTACAAAATTATTCCATGAGAAAATTAGTGTATCTCGGATATCACCTTGTGTAATAATAATTTTAATACCCATTTTGATCGTGCGTAGGTAAGTTTATCCTAAGGTCGAGTAACCCCATAAAAACAGGAAAAAACCTATTAAATTTACCTTTCTCTTCAAGATCCAAGATCGAGTTGATTATGTGTTTTATGAAACCCAAAGTGGGAATTTATGTGGGTGGACAGAGCCATAATTTATTATGCATGTAGTACCTTCTAATGGTGTATTTTTGTTTTTGTTAGTTTAAAATACAATTTATTTGTTGAAACATAGATTGTATAATAAAGAATGTATTATCAACAATTATTGTATTTGAAATTTCTTCACAAAATCACAGCAGCTAGTTTGAATTATACGACGTGTACCCATGTAGTAGGGTTGTGCAGGATTCATTACGGAAAACCAATGTTTCAAAGTTGAATAACTTTATGTATATGCGTTGGTTATTAAAACGGGCGATATTGAATGTAAATACGGGCTTTTTTTTATGCATAAACTGTGTTTAAATCATTAATGGTTTATACGCAGCCATCCTACGCTAGGTGTAGGTATTTCAAATTAGGTTGTATAATAACATAATATGTGTAATAACGCTTATTAAGTCTGAATTCAATTGACCGATAAGTTTTTGAGAAATTGTGGTCACATATAACACAGAGTTTGACAATATCTGTTGTAACCAATTGAAATTTTCAGTAAATATTTTATATATTAATACATAAATACATACAATTTTATAATCAATTTTTTCTTTTATTGTTCAACTGTAGTGATGACTTTTTATGTGTAAACTTATTACCTAACATATATACCTAGTAATAAATATTTAAAAAATGTTACTATAAAAATGGTAATTTTGTTATTAATTCCTAATGGTTTCTAAACAATTTTTTTTAATACAATAACATAATTTTACACGTTTTATTGGTATTATCAAAAATAAAATAACATGTTATTAATTAGCTTTGATGTGCAGTGTTGCTGTTTTACAAAAGTTTGACAAACATAGTTTAAATACAAAAATAATAATAATAATGATAATAGGAGCCAGTAATATTTTTATTATTCTAAAAATGTTGTTCGGTAACTTAAAAAAGAAAAACCTAAAATCCTATGGCTTCAATTCGGTTTTTCAAAGGAGAAGATCCCTTGGCTCGATAATTACTTTCAACAATAAGTTTTATTTCAATAAAAAAAAAAAAAACATTAAATAAATTCAAATCAAAAAAAACCATTGACATTTAATATCGCGGTTGAAACTGTTAAGATGATAATTATTGTTGTAGGAATTCTCAGAAAATCATTGGGGGAATGTTATTTCAAATTCAGAAAAAGAAAAATTATTATAAATACCGTCACTTTGATTTTGATTAGGACTTTTCCCTAAGTTTTTAGCAGGTTCAAACAAGAGTCATATTGAAATTGTAAATTGTCGATAAGTTCAAGGAAGGTATTTAAATAGTGACAATTGTAATTAAAGCAAAGACTAGTGCGAGCTCCTGCAATTTAAATGTTTTTACTTTTTGAATGTATTTTTATTATTTTCACGGGACGTTTCATATAACAGTTTCACCATAACTTTGATGGTGACAAGACAAAAGGGTCTAAGCGGCACTTTGGGTTTAAGCGACAAGGCTTATTGTATTAGTTAGAAAAAAAAATAGTAAAATCACGTTTAGTGGCTATCCTGAAAACTATAAAATATGTCGCTTAGACCCTTTTGCCGTGTCGATATTATGATGTGCCATAGTTTTTAAACAGTAGCGGGTGAAAAAAAAAAATGTAAAATTTGCGTCTTGGTTGTGTAAAACAAAAATGAATGTACATTCAAAACTTGATTGTAATGTTTAATTCAGTTAATAAAAATTGCTCAAACCCCTGGTATACTAATGTTGAAATTACTAAAAAAAAACAATAAGAACGCATATGGATCTCAAAACACAACATTGCACTTCAGACTAGTGATCGTCTTGTAATGTTATTTAAAAGTATTTGTTCAGAATACCTTATACGTACAAAATATAACATACAATCGTGCAAGAACAAAATTTATTCTATATATTTTAATGTAGTTGCATCGACAGAGCTTCAAGCGTGTCTTTTATTGGTATTTGATGATTTTCAAATATCGATTGATTGCAAACCTAATAAATCCTTAGATCCTTGCCACAAACATTGGTTATCATTTGTGGTCGGAATATTATTCTTCGGCATATTTTTTTTTTTCTCTTTTGATTCTATGCAGCCAGGCGGGGTTTGAAATTATACGATTTGTGAAACGTTCAAATCGATGGCAACATTTTTTTTTTTTTCTGCATACTTTAATAATTCAAGATAAAAGAATATTTCGTGTATAATGATGAATTTTAGAGAATATATCTGTTGTTATTATTGACGAAAATACAAACGCAATAACGATAACGACGTCTCACAAGTCGAGTACTCTAGAAATTGGGAAAACACTTAAAAAATATTTCCAATCGTTTGTGTATCGAGTGTATAGTTGTTAACTGTTTTCCAAAAGGAGAACTTTCTCAATTAAACAACGTCATTAATGTAATTCAATAAAATAAAATATACAGTAATTGTATTAATTGACATTATATTTTATTACATATAATTATAATATATTTGATTATTATTTTGTAAAATTTTCAACTTTTTGGCAAGTAAATGAAAAAAATTATTTTATTAAATTATTAAATTTTATCATATTGAGTAACCTTTAAACATCAGTTGTAATACCTCTGAGGTGTCTAAACATTTTATTTTATTTGTTTTGCATATTTTACTACAATTTTTAAAGAATGTTTTCAACTTTTCAAGATAATATTAGAGAATGTTATTTTGGCTATTTTAAGAGAACATTATCCCGACCTCTCGTTATCATTTACATTTTGTATTAGACGTCGTGTGTGGACCACTATGGGCCGCATTCGAGCTGTACTTGTATGGAAAAAACTCAATTGACAACAAAGCGCTTGACATATTTGCATTGCTTAGTGTCCCTTTGATTTAGAATTGTACTTGAATTTCCTTGAATTTGTTTTGCCAATAATAATTGCTTTAAAATATGTAACAATGCGTTTGACACGTTCAAAACACAAAATCAAAAAATTGATATCAAAATGTAAATCGCATACAAGACATTGTTAGAATTAAAGGCAAAAAAATGTTACACCATAAAATGGTTTTTCGCAAGTTACTATAGAAATCTGATTGTGTAAAAATGTATTTAGGAAAAAGCTTTGCTTGAAAACAATTTTTTTTAGTTTCCACAATGCAAATAATGTAATAAAATATTTTTAATGGCTTCAATAAAAAAAATAATAATAATAATAATAAAAATGGTTTATTTAGCTCCTTTGTAAAATTTACAATTAGTCGCTTACCTTTTTTTATATCTTTTCTCCAGTGATATCTGGATGGAACCTCAAAGACTTACATAAATACAGTTGAAATGTATATATTTTTTTTTTATTGTAATAAAATGCTTTGACTACTGGGGTGTGAGGTCATTGGCCAATAGGTTTTTACACTTTGGTTATATTGAGAATAGCTTATAGTAAAATAGAATAAACTAAAAAAAAAAAATAGACAAGTCATAATTTAAATTTTGTCTTCAAGTTACGTTAGATAATGCATTTGATGATATTATGATTGTATATTGTAAGGTTGGTTTCCGGGGGCTGCTTGTAAACTATTTGGGTTCATTGCTTTTTTTGGTTGCATTTGCGACATTCTAGAATAATATGTTTAGAGCGGAGTTCGCTGTGCTACTGGTTGTATAAGATTGGGGTAGATTTTCTTTGCATTAGGTGGTTGTAGGTATACCGATTGTGTACAATTCTTAGACGGGTAAGAATCGCGTCCTCTCTTCTGTTTATGTTAGTTACTGGTTTTTCCATTTTTTTATTTCTCTCAAGTTTGTGTCACTCGATACGATCCACTGCGATTGTCATTCGTCGTTTATTTTTGAGCTGATTTTTTTTTTATTGCAATAGTCCTTGCTGTGTATTTTTAAAAGTTCTATGGCGGTGTCGCTAAAATAATAATTGTAGGGTTGTGTAAAAGTCAGAGCTATCTAATAGAGCGTTAATCTTTGGGCATAAACATTTACCATTTTGCTATTGTTTTACAGGTATATAATAAAATGAATTAACAATAATATGGACGAAAAGAAAAAATCTGCCGTTGGTGTTTCAAACACCGCACTAACTACAGTCAAACTACAAAAAGTCAAAGGTAATTGATTTGTCAACTTTTAAAATTGATATAAAATATGTCTACTAATATTTTGTATCTATTGTGTAATTAAATTAATATATATAATAATTGTTATAAAAAAAAAATATCACACAAAACTCTATTACCTTTTATCTATATTGTGCATTATGTTATTCAAAAATAGAGAGCGGTGATCGCAAACAAAAGAATGATAATGTTTGGAGCATTTCGAAAGTAACGAGAGGCGCTGCCAAAAATGCAAACGCAAAAAAAGTCGCAAAGCACGCATTGCGGCAACAAGCGAAACGCCGACGTAAAAACACTACCATCGCTGCCGGAAATGTAGCGCCGCTGCCGAGGATAATTATTCCTCCTAGTCAAACTAGTGGTATTACATTTTTTTTCTTTCTTTATGATATTTCAATATAATATGAATTCATTTTTTATCATCTTTGTTAGGTTGTTTATATGGGGAAATTATATTTTATTTCATTAATTTAATTTTTTTTTTTTTTTTGTAGCCGACGAAGGAGAATCTAGAGTTCCGACCATGTTGGAAGTGTTATCTTCCATTCCGGGATTTAGTTTGGTGAAACCGCGTAAACGTCCTGGCTCAAAAAAACTGTCGGCCGCCGCCCAATTAGAACAAGCCAAAGTCGAAGGTTGCGTCGATTTGGAAACACCGGATTCCGTACTCGCGCAAATCAATTTGAGATCTCTGCTAAATAAACAAACGTTTTCCATGCTGCCGCGTCTCTATCAACACAAACTTGTCCAGTTGTTACCACACGTTGATCGAGAAAATATCGCCGAGGCACAATCTGATTTCAGGTTTGTACAATTGTTATTGTTGTTGTCGACAAATTTGATTTCATTTTGTGACAATTTTTTTTTTTTTTTTTATGCTCATTACATTTGATTTTCACCGACCGAATTTCAAATTTCAATCGTATGTGTGCTTATGGTTTTATTATTTATTTATTTTTTTAGACCCTTTTTGAATGCATCAGTTTTGAATAATGAGTTTTTCGCCCAAGCCTGTCTCGAATGGACGGAGAGACTGGCCGAGGGTGAGTTCACTCCCGAGAATCAGCAAAAAATGAAAATGGACATTGATCGTGAAAAAAGCAAATTAGATCCGTGGAAGGTGAGTAACGGTATAAATGCTTTTGTGAAAACCCGTAAGCTTGGACAATTTTTTTGTAAATTTCTATTAATTCAAATTTTAGTATTTCTATCTATGTGTAATTGGTTCACCTTTGTGAATTTTCAATAGTATTGAATTCAGATTTTGTCACTCATGAGTGAATGGAAAAAAAACACACAAATGTGTGAATCAGAGTTAGTGCTAGTTTGGTGGTAGTTAATATATAGAATAGTATAATTTTATTTAGTAAGCTGCGTAACGTATCACTGTATTTTGTTTTTATTTTTACATTTAACATTAATGTACGTTTTCAAAGTATTAGTAAATTTTATAGTTTAAAAAAAATGTCACTCGTTCACAAACAAAAAAGAGAAAGGATATAACCATCTAGCAATATAGTTATTGCGCAGTGGCCCCCCGTTAACAATTATCTTCTAATTTTAACACAACGTTGTTAACTTCACGTAACAGGTAAGAGTAGCAAAATCTGACTGTACTGTTAAAATTAACACAGATAAACCCTTAAAAAAAAAAAGATGACAAACTGTATAGTCTATTGGACCCTTGATATATTCATCTGGACCCTTAGTATAATATCTGTTTGGACCTTTAGTATAATATCTATTTGGACCCTTTACAATATTTATAAACAAACAAATTTTTTTTTTTAATATACATTTTTAACGTCTTAAAAACTGTTTACATTTTTTTTTTCAGTTAAAAAACTTTGAGCCGATATGGGGTGAAAATAAACTCGCAAATTTTAACACACCTCCTTCAAATTTGATGACCAGCCCAAAAGCGACTAAAAGAAAGATGGTCAGTAGTCCGCCTGTACAGTCTCCGACTTCGACAATTAGCGTTGCACCGTGCATATCGTCGGACGATAGTAAAAACAGCAGTGCTCTGTTCGAGACGATTTGGGATTCTGTGGATTCCACGACGGACTGTGTTGCCGAAGAAGAACTCGTCGAAGAAGTCACCATGGAAAATGTAATTTTTATACTTAAACTTGTATTATTTTATAATTTATAGTTTATTATATATTTGTATAGATAATTTATAATTTATAGTTTATTATATTTATATAGTTAATTTATAATTTATATTTAATTTGTAAACTTATATGATTTACACTACTTACCAGGCTGACGACATGGAGGTGGTCGAGGAGGAGACGTCCCCGGCCGAAGTAATAGACATCACAGAAGACGAAGTTGTTATGAGTAACAACGACATGTTGGATGATAAGTGCTCAGTGGAAAATTGGCCAATTACCGAAATTAGTAATCAATTGGAAGCAACTATTCCCGATTATGATTGTGTTTCGGCGTCAAATGACAGAGAAATGGAAGCCAGCGAAATACAATTGGAATTGGAAGGTATGTTATTTCTCATTGTAAATACAGCTATCCCAAAACTAACCTAAAATTAATATATAATAATAATAATAATAGAATATAATAATAATAGAAAATAAATCTAAATTTTTATGATTAGAGACTCGGTAATTTTGAAAATTTAAAAAGTAATAAAGACATGTTTATAACTTAACATAACATAAGATGACATAACTAATACATATTATATAGGTAGTTGGGCCGAGTCTTTAAAAAATTCAAACAAAATAATTTTTCCTTCTGTATTTCTCTAATTTTATTTTCAATTACTACAACAGATACGTATTATTCCTAACAAAACTAGTATACGTGTTATACGTACATTATTCCAAATCATATCAGCTAATCTGTGAAACCCAGAAGTAGTCTTTAAGCATAATATAATTAACATAAAAATTAATAACAATAATAATAATATAAATATACGACCCGTAATTAAATAACTAACTAACTGTACTAATAATTTCTAAATCACTCACAGCAAATAACAACGATAATAAAGATTAAAAATCATTATATTAATGTCTTTTCCCCTTTTTTTTTTTATCAAGTTACTTTAACCCAAAAAATTGAAAATGTGAATTCAGCCGCTCTGTCAACAGCTGCTAAACTAAAAAAAGAAGAGTTAATTAGCAAACATTCTGAAATCATCGTGGAGCCAACGATTAATTCGCTACTTACAATTGATGAACCTGATCAAGTCGTTGCCGCTCACTGTTCGCCGCCATTATCAAAAACGTCGATTCTTTCTTCTGCCAGCTTGTCCACCACTTCATTGCTGAAAATAACCACGAGTCCTAGCGTGCTGAACAAGCTGTCATTCGTGAGTCCAGTTTCACACACAGTCACTACGACTAGTGGAAACAAAATTAACGCAATGGTTTCTTCGTCTAAACCTCAAATATTGGTAAGAGATTTATTTGGTGGTCAGTCAGTGTCATCAAGTGTGTGTGTGTGTGTGTGTGTGTTTATTTGTATAGCCACAATTAAACATAATTTTAACATAAATAAAAAAAAAAAAATTAACAACAATAATAATGTATCCTTTTAACAACCTTACCTCTAGGTAAGCTCAAACAATAACGGGACATCCAGATCTAATAGAACGGCAACATCGAAACAACCGCCGGGTGCTGTTAATTTAGAAAGAAGTTACCAAATATGTCAAGCTGTCATACAAAACAGTCCGAACCGTAATCAATTAAGGTGCCAATTGAAACCGCCTCCGTCGATGCTCGTGGGAAAGCAAACTTTGTAAGCTACCGATAAGGACAATATGAAAAAAAATAAATAAACGGCTTAATAAAAAAAATAATTGCCAAATCGATGATAAACATACTTTTTGATTTTAGCATGCGAAACTTACCTCCTACGAAATCCATACGCAGTATGAATGTGCCTAACGTTCCACAACCCGTAGTTGTTAAACACGTGTTTGCATCGTCTCGCGGCATTCCAGTTACCATGTCGGTTTTACCGTCGTACGCATCGGGTGTAAGTTGACCAAATACTATTGTAATCTTATATGTAGTCGAAACAAAAGTATTTGTACGCAAATGATTGTCACAAACGGCAGACAAATGTTCAGACGGCAAAAAGCTAATGATTTACATATGCCAAATTAAATTAAATAGTACCAGTATGGAAAAATATTCCGTCTTTTTTAATTATTAGAGATAATATTATTCTTCATATGTTGAGTTTTCCCTACCTGTTAATATTTAATCTATTAAATTAAAGCATTTTTTTTTTTGGTCTTCTGAAAACTATTAAAAATGTACTTTACGCATAACGGCCTTTAAACAATCATTATAGTAAATTAGCATTAACATTTCAATTTCGGAATAGTCGAGTTGATAAACTTAAAAAGTTAAAATAAATTGATTACAGTTTTTTCTATAAAGTTAAAAACAAATTCCAAAATTTTGTTCAACAACTAATTGTTGTTATTATATATTTTTTTTCTAGCAACAAAAACAACAAATTCAACAACACCAGAGACTACACCAACAGCAGCAGCACCAGCGTCTCACCGAAAAACAAATGGGACAATACGTGCTGGTGCAGCGATCGGGAGGTATAACCGGAATACGTCGTTCGTCCAGCGCGCCGCCGATCAACAACAAAATGCCACATATCATAAACGGCGGCCGGCCGGCGAGTGTGGGCATACAAGTATCGACTTATCCGACGTCGCAACAAAAAACCGATTGTTCTTGTAGCCTCAACGCCATGGTGGAGTGTAAAAAATGTGGAGCGTTCTGCCATGACGATTGTATAGGGCCACCCCATGTCTGCGTAACATGTCTTATCCGATAGGTCGAGTCAGGTTGTATGTGTTCACAAACGCACAATTAATTATAATATTATCATTTACGTATGATATGTATCAGTCAACGAGTCTTAGTGTTTTATTATGTTTAATTCGATATACATATGTATATATATATATATATATATATATATATATATATATATATATGTGTGTGTGTGTGTGTCTATTACTACTAGCTACTCGGTTGAAGTATCAATTTTATCTAAAGAAACCAATTTTTAATTTTTTTTTCTTTTTTCGGTCAACGTTCACTGACATAAGTGCTGTTTCGTGTAAAGTAACCCTCATTGTACGAAATCTCTAAGCTATTCAATTTCAATTTTAATTAACAAATATTATGTGCCCTACTTTATTGTTACTTTTTGTCTCTTATTTTTCACTTTCCATAATATAAAAAATATACACTTGTTTCTATCCTGTTATTTATTATTTATTTTTCAAGTTTCCGCACATCAATAATATTAATAGAAATTTAACAAAATATTTGACCTGTATACAAAATATGTAAAAAAAAGCAAAAAAAAAAAAAATGCTATTTTATGTGAAAAAAACTTTTTAAATCACATTACAATCTCATTAGCATTTTTCAATTTATAAATTGTTGTTTTTAATTTATTCATACTTTAATTACTAGGTATTAAATACTCAATTATTTAAACAGACAATTAATGTTATGCTCTTAATTATTTGAGTTGTCTTCGATATTCTGAAATTAGCGATTTGATAAATAATATACATAACTTAATAATCGTTATGATTTATTTTCGTTTCGAAAAAAAACTTTTTACCTCGTTACTATTATATTTTAATTCGCCATACTTGTATAACTATAATGTTGACCTCGATATTGAAACCTTTATTGTTTAGGTTATTTTAAAAGTATTGTAATACAAATTGTTTAGTAATAAGTTTTTTTATTTTATTTAAACAACTAATGAAATTCACGCGCATTTGGCAAATGCGTCTTTCGATATTCAATAATTTTAAGATAACAATATTAATGCTTTTACAATTTATGTGTTTAAAACAAAACTCTTTTTCAGTATACCTCTTTTCGAATAAATAATCTTTTATGTGTAATCGTTTTGAAAACAAAGTATAGTAGTCTTACATTTTTATATGGAAAAAACCCTGTTAATAAAATATTACTTTTACTTACATTTAGTTTGATTAAAATAAATATAATAATATATTATATTATTAATATATTACAATAATATATTATACTGTATACATAAATAATTACATGTTATACTACACAATATATTGTACATTGTAGAATTGTATAATATGTAAAAACTATAAAACGATTTGTGGTATTTGCACAAGTATCGTATTATTTGAATCGATATTTTTTAATACGTTAAGATTTACAAACTCAAAGGTCACGGACGGACTTTTCTACGACTTGTCTAAATTTTACAATGCAATGCAATTTTGAATAAATAATGTAGTAATTACAATTACACGAAATCAATAAAATGTTGTATGTATAAATCAAATGTTCTTATGAAATTGTAAACGTTTTACGACGATAACCAGTTGTACGAAACAAAAATCATTACTCTTTCGAGTACACACGAGTAATGCATTTCGGTTTCTGCGCGGGCGTTGTTTTTTCTTGTGAAACCGAGTACAACTTTTTAAAAGATCAATCCCAAAATGTAGAATAGTTTATATTTATAAAACAAAAATAGTACGTCATTAGTTGTTGCGTCGGCTAAATTTATCCCAAATTAAATTATTTGTTTCGCAGGCTAACACTAATAATTTGCTTACACTAGTTATTATTTGCCCTTAATAGTCCCTTAATTTTTCGTCGATAATGTTTCTATACAATTATTTATTCAACTAAATGATTATTGTACCTGCTTTGGAAAAAAAACATCACTGTCGTAATTAATAAACACAATTCATAGACTTAAGTTGTTTGTTAAACTAAAACTCTACTTTAAGTAAGATTAATCCTATTATTTGTGTTAACAACTGTGTAATAATTTTTTTTTTTTTCCCTAAGCTATTTTCGGTGGTGGAGTTTTGTAATCTTACCATTCTGTTTAAACATGATTTCCACTATTCGAAGCTTACTCTTAATTAAAACTTTCTTTTTTCTTAAATAACCCTATTTACTTATTGCGAGCACGTTGTATATTATAATAATATTAAAGATAACGATTTGCAGAAAAAATTTTTTTTTTTTGTTAAATCTTTTCCAAAATGTACGAAGACTTAAATTATTACAAAACGATTTGTTTTTTTTTTAATTTTATTATTATCATGTGTAATATGGTGATAACAGTTATACATTAGTTGTGTAATTTATATATTTTGCTTTACTTTCGTTAAGTTTAATTTTTCCAAACATTATTTTTATAATTTTTTTTTTTTTTTTATTTATCCTGTATTTTTAAAGTTCAATAAACACTATTATTGACTAAAACAATGAAATTCGTTTACTTATCCCTATTTGCCCGGTATAAAATGCAAACAGTTCTGGATTATTTATTATTAAAATTAATCGGACAAATCCGGGTTTCTAATTTTTGTTATTAATCCTAAACGCCAAACAGTAAGATTGAAACGATCACGACTGAAACCTGGGAGAGTTTCTATTTTTATTTTGTTATGCTTAAATTTATTATGCTTTCGAGAAAATAATATGTATGTGGTAGGTACACCTATTATTAGTTAAGCGTACAAAACACAATAATTGGCTTAATAACTGAAATATAATTCATTTTTAATCATTTTTGCTATAGTTATATATACAATATACGTATATTATATATTAGTGAATATTTGACATATTACCCTTTTAATCGATAGTAACCTATTCAAATAAGAAACCCCTAGGTCAACTTGTATACCTATATACTTCCTGACGAGTTGTGTTTTTGCATTTGATTAACCCCCAAGCGCAAAGTCACATTTCAGCTTTAAGATACATTTTTTTATACAATCAATTTATTTAATCTTAAAGTTAAATTATTTTAATGAACAATCAAAATGTACCGTGTTAATAAAATACAAAAAAACAAATTCACGAGGAAGTACTTGGGGTTGAGTTGGGAATCTGAAATTTTTAGGGATCTATTCTTATTGTCAACAGGCTACTGAGTACTATTGTTGATAAATCTCCAACTTTGCCCCCGAGCTTAAAACATTCCTCGGGACAACTCAAGTAAGTCCTGAAAATTTCAGCTTGATCTGTTGATGCACTATCCCTATTCCTATAGCAAGTTATGGATATATGTACAACAAATAAACAAACATTCATATATATAGACCTATAAAGATTTCTTTATAGGTCTTTGTGTTTACTACGACATTTTGACGTATAATTCCAGACCCACGTGTGTATATTTAGAAACACATTTACTAATGTTAATATTATTACAATCGATGGTGCACACCGATCACGGACGGCATAAAAACCTATCTTATCTAGATTCTCAGACACCGTTCATTGTCAATAAACGCGAATACATCTATTATTAGTTAGTAAAAATTAAATTTTTAAATGTCATATTATTTAATTAAATATGTGTAAATATAAATAAAATATTTTTTCTGTATCCTAATTTAAATATGATAAAATTATGGGGGCCCCTAGGCTGCAGCCCACTCAGCCCTCCCCTAAATCCGGTCCTGATATAGATATATTAATATTATGTAGAATACATTATAACATACACAATGTTATGTATTCCGTGGTTGTTATTGTGATTGACGTAAAATCTATACCAGGGTCTCATGGCCGTTTTTGTCATTGCTCGTTCGCCTTTGCAGATTCGGCCAGCAAACGCTACTCGGCTTATGCGTTCCTGGTATACGAGGAATCTCAAAAGCGGCATTTTCGACGCAGCCAACGAAACGGACGCGGCATTTTTGCCGTACAACCGAAAAGGGGAACGGTACCCTTAAACCGTCGACGCTCGAGGTACCAGGGGCGCATAGGATCGATATCGTCGTCGCAAAGGCTCGCCGGCATAGGTAATACCTACCGTTTTTCTCTTTCCTATATTTTCACCTTTAGATATTTTTATATAGTTAATAACGTTGACTGTTGTACAAATAGATAAAAAACAGGCAAGACTGCCAGGCGCCTCTTCGGTGTGTTACTGTTCTGGACACCTAGCAAGATTTGAGTGCAAAAAAAAATTTTTTCAGCCCAACCGAGGAAGTCTATACATTGGTTTTTTACAACAATTTAGTAATTTTATTTTCAACTGAAACCCAATTTATGAGGCCGAAAAATAAAAAAAGTTCTACGAATCACAGTGATTAATGTTTTGAACCAAACTTAAAAAATCTCCAACTATTGTGGCTACACCTTTTAGTATAATCTGTTTATAAGGACAAAGACGTATACATACTATTATTAGCACTTTTGTCAGGCAACAAAAATTAATTAATTTTTTTTTTTTTTAGGTGTGGGTATTGCTGATTCCCTGATGAAGTTGATTATCTGCATTTCGTGAAGTTTGTGGTTGATCAAAATGTTATATAGACCATACAACGTACATCTAATATATAAAATTATTAATAAAACAACAGCATATTCATGTGTTTGATAAGGTAGAGAATAGGTATTATATCGTGTTCTATTGTAAAAAGTATTTTTTTAACAAAACTATAAACCTACCCGAATTTCGATAAATAATTTTATTTAAAAATACGTCGTTACATTAAGTTAACCGGTATTACGGTAGTTATAATATTATTTCTGGTTAATATTTATTGTTTGTATTTATTATTTTTGAAATCCCTTAATTTTTTTTATCCACAATATGTTTAGTTAAACAAATAACTCGAATAAAAACACAATTAGAAAAAACTAATAACTAATAACCGAAGTAACTAAAAACGAGATAAAAGAGATTCTATCAACCGTGGTATAGTGTAAAATAAATTTGCTCAGCTAGTACGATACTTAGTATCTAGACTTGGCTATCGAGATAAAATAGTCATCTCACTTATCGGCGTGAAAAACAAAAAGTAACACAATATTTTTTTAATTTACAACCTTAATGTAAACAAAACAATTAATATACTTTATAAAAACTGCCATTATATTAATAAAATACTCTCAATTCAGAAAATGATTTTTTAAAAAGTACCTATTTAATATAGAATATTTGAAGAAAAAAAAAAATTAAAATGTATTCAAATACATTTTGACTATAAAGTGTATTTAAAATATGTATATTGTATTCGATACTTGCAAAATGATTTGAGTACCAATACCGTTTTTTAAATAATTTGGACAATACAATCGATAATTAGTCTAATAATTATTATTAGGAAATCTAGTAAAATTACACAAAAACTTTAACAAATATCTGCTGCTAATAGCTTCCCCATAAACGAATTCTTCTTATTGTTCTTATAATAAGAATCAAATCAAGAGAAAACCTAAAGAATAAAGCTTGCCAAGTTAACACAGCCTAAATAAAATACTTTGTTTCTGATCAAGATGTTATAAGATAAATTAAAATGATAATAAAAACAATAATAGTCAAAATAAGGAACTTCGTTCCAATAACTTCAAATTTCAATAATTTATTACCCAAAAGGGCCGGAATGTTTAAAACATATTTAGTTTTGTCAACTGCATAAACTGTACAAAGTTTAAATAGTGTTAAAGTTCAATAGATCCCGAAAAAATCCTTTCTTCACCACAAAATAAGGGGTTCAAGATTTATAGCATATTGAAATCAAGTGAATCTTTTTGGGACACTGTATATTAAATTATACTTGGCACGTCATGTGTTACAGCTTACAACGTCTTTAATTTTAAACAATAGGGATGTGAAGTCCCCTTTTTTATGGGTATACAAGTTGTATGATATCCCTCCCCTTTTATAATTAAGCTGAAGGTAAGCGTTAATCGTTTATCCAAAAATTAAATATTAACTTCAATGCGGTACAATCGTCAATAGGCATAAGACGACAGAATTATTATTTAAATAATAACAAATATAACTAAAAAATTTGTATAAAAATAGAAATTATACTAAAATGATTTTGGCTAAATGCAAATTGTACAAAATATTTTTTTACAACAGCAGCTTTTGTATGAGATTATTATTTAGCCAGCTTGTAACGGCCACCAGTAAACAAAAGTTTATGCTCTTTGACTTTGTCGTCTAAGAAAATTCGCAGTTGAGTCAGACTGCAGTCGACGCCAGTTCCTTGAGTAGCAAACATCTTTAACATTTGGTGTATTCTGTCGAGCGGTAAAGAGTCCAAGTTTGTTAGCATGCCCACAATGTACGACCAAAACACCTATAACGGTAAAATAAAATATTTCAGTTTTATAATAATAATAATAAAAAAAAGAGCAATTACTTGTAATTCTTCTTCTCTTTGGTCTTGTGCAGAAGCCATGGCGCTTTCCATTTCGTCGTCCTCACAACACGCAAATTCTGAACCACGACCTCCCATGCTGTTCCTATTTCCTTTTCCCGATAAACTCGTAGTCGGAATGCCGTCTTCCACGAGAATAAATGTATCAACCGATTTTTCCCTCAGTAAACCCTAAAAACAAAAAATTAAAAAAAAAACATTTATTCGATATTGAACAATAAATGTTTTGATCGGTTTCAATTGCATTCGTCGTATGAACTGAACCTGATTTTGCCAAAAGCCAATCCGTCGTCTCAGATTCGTAGCGGGAACACGCATTTCCATACTAAGCTCATCAATTGTCCATTCCTCTGGAAACATAAAAATACAAATAAATTCATTGCAAAATATAATATGTATAAGATAGTATATACCATATATAGTATAGTATTATAATAATAATAATAATAATAATAAGTAGTAATTGTATAACTAGAGATACACCTTTATCTTGGAAATGCCATAATATGGTTGCGTGAATGGGTGAGACTGATAGTTTTAACTTCCTATTGTTTATTTCGATATCAATGTCAATAATGCCAAGGTGTGTTTTCCAATTTAAAGTACGGTTACCCTGGGGAAAAAAAAATTAAGTAAATTTCATTAAGGACACAGTTGCAAATATTAAAATTATCAACAAATTTCACTAACTTTAAAAGCTTCGAACGCTTTAGTGTAATTGTCCATATGCTTTTTAATAACCGCAGGCAGTTCTAGATTAATATCGTCCTTAAAGGTCGGCCAAAATTGAGCCGACACAATTATGGCAGTCACTGGAAATTCTTGTTCACTATTTGTACTGTTTGTGGACAGATTTGATGTTGGATCCGAATACAAATGGTGGTTGATTCGTTTCGAATCGTACACGTCTTTCAGCATGACAGAGCACGAATGTAACAACGATTCACCAAATCTAAACAAATTGTAGTGTTTTAAGTGTATACAACAATTTACACAACAGTATCAGCCATTTAGCTGATTTAGTCATTTAGCATTTACTATTTTTATTAACCTCAATTTCAGTAATTCCAAATATCTGATTTCTTTGTCGATATTCTCTGTAAATTGTGTAAGCAGCCGATCTGCGAGTAATGTTCTGTATTCGTTGACGAATAATTCTCGCGTACCGTAAATGTCCACCAACATTGATACAATATCGGAGTTACGGAATCGTTTAGAAGCTGGTGCTAAAACAAAAAAATACCAATCGGTTTATTACCGATATACATTTATGATACAATGTAGTCTTATCGTCAACGACAAAGTTACTATTTTTACTATTAATACTATGAGGCCAACTTAATGTCCTCACAGAATGCACATTTAATTTCGTATAATTCATTTACATGGATTTGCGTCCACTGGATCCGGTTTCCAATTCATCCAGTCCGCCATACTTTCGTCTTCGTAAACGTCTTCGTCGTCTAGCATGTTCTCACCTCTCACTAGTTCATCAGTCAAATAGTTACCCTCTTCCGTAAGTGTAGTCATAACGCAACGTACTGTGTCTTCACGACTTCGCAAATACACTCTATGGAAAATGTATAAAAATTACTTCTGTAAAAAAAAAAACCTTAACGGAATTAAAAAATTATACTACCTAATAGGTTGAGTGACTTCTTGTAAAAGCGCACCACTGGCATCAATTTTTCTCAAGACTTTAATTGCCGACGTGTAAGCTGTCAATATGTCAATGGTGTTAACAGCTGGGTGGAGTAGTCTATTCTGTAACGCGATTTGCAACTTTCGACATAACACTGATTTCAAATCAGTTTTTTTAAGCGTGGCTGATAAATCCATAACAGCCGGTTCAGAGTCCGGATATTCTATAATGAATAAATAACAATGTATTAACGAAAAAAATTACTCGTGAAATTTAGTTTTTACTTTGTGTACTTTATATACTGTACAGTAGTACAGATTAAATAGAAATAAATGAAAACGACGATATCAATAGTGTTAAAATAGTATTTGACATTAAAAGTGAATTTTTTTTTATGTTATGTTTCTGAACTGTTAATACTTAAGCCAATAGAATACAAACATGTTGGATAAACCATTTTCGTTCTACTGGAAACTATAAAAAAATGTCGCTTAAGCCAAATGGAAAAAGAACTTTTAATTATCTATATTATCAAACAATACAAATTTCATAGTTTTAACGTGAAGATGTTTAATGGTTGGCGGTCAGATAAAAATTAGCATAACACTTTACAGCAAAATTAAAATCTTTCCTAAACTACGTGTGTATTATTGTTTCTACCTTTTTTATTTTATCAATATACATTCTTTAAATAAAAAAAGCCGATAACCTTTTTTTATCTTTTGGTTTACTATTGTAAACTATCAATTTATAAATATTATCTCAAAACCAGACTATGGGATTTTTTCGATAATGGGTGTTTGAGTGTTTTTAAACATTAAACAACAATTAATACATTTCTATAAAGTTTGCTAATTATTCTACTGTATCAGTACCAACCAATAATTATGTTGAACAATTGATCGATTCTAGTTTTGGTGTAAGACTCGTAAAGTAAATGCTTCAGCTTCCTCATGAATACTTCCAAACTCTTATCGTCTATTATCACCACGTTACTACATTTTGGTTTGTATATATGCCTCATCCAATCGTAAACGACAGTATCTATCCACTATAATAAAATGTAACGGGTCATAAATTTTGTTTCAATAAATATATTTTAAAGAAAAAACTGTTACAATTACCTTTTCTAAAAGTGATACTTGATATTCTCCAAAATTTTCTTTTGTTATGTCTTGAACCTCAGTTTCGATCCTATTACGAATCAAGTCTATAATAACATCACCTGCCAACGGTTCTAACAAACCGATATCGATTAGTTGCCTATTTCAAAAAACGTTAATATTTTTAATTATTAGGATAGACAAAAAAAAAAAAAAATAATAGAGCAGTTCGATTAAATTCACAACTAATAACTAACTTAACATTTATACTCTCAACTAATTTAACATTTAAAAGGTAAACATTTTATTATATATTTTTTCTTACCAGTTAGTCAAATGAAAAGACTCCAAAATATGTTCACATTTACAATCCACAACTTCAAAAGCACAACCATTGCAACGGAACACGCCGTCTCTCGAAGTATTTTTTTTATCTACAATAACAAATAAGGTATTTATTATAGTAAATTATAAAAAAAAAATCAATTTTTACAACTCACCTCCAATACCGTCGTCTTTGGTAAAAACTTTTAAAGCGACTCGATAAAACTGGTAAATGATCGTGTTGTATTCGGCGGGAAGAGTGGAATGAAGAATTGCACAGATTTGCAAGAGGAAATTCTTTCTTAAATTTGTTTTTTCCGAATCAAATAACAGTTGAAGACGTTTGATTGTTTCCGTATACGTCAGGATTATACCGTACAATTCACATGTGGCCGTTTTAAATTTTTCAAAACCGCTATAGTCATCAGGCATTAGATCTTGGTCTTTAAGAAAACTACAATCGACAACATTATCAGACATAAAGTACAACCAAAATTCGTTCAGTATTTTAGATTTGATCTCTTCACGAACACGAATGTTAACCATCTCGTAAACAAAATTCGAGAATTTATTGGTTTTAATCATTTCTTGTATTGATTGAAATTGTACATCATCACATGGTTCGGCATCCTGTAAATTAGAACTAACTTGTACCCTTTTGGTTCTCATCACTTTATAGTGTAAATAACGTGTAGTAATATTAGAAAAAAATTTGTTTTTAAAGTAGCAGAAAAATGTCTTTAATTCATTACCGATTACACGCTTAAGATATCCTTCTTAAAAATGAATTAAACCATTATCAGAAGAAAAAAACTATCGTTACTAAAAAACATAATAATGTTAAGAATTGTATACGTGTATGACATGAGTGAAGCATCTAATGAAAAAAACAAAGACTAAACAATATTGCATAGGTACCTAGTATGTAAAAATATTAAACAAGTTATTAATTGTTTTACCTAGGTATTTAGAAAATTATATCATATATTATTATTATATTATATTATATTATATTGGTTGGAGTCAGTAAATGCTATCTAACGATACAACCCCAAATTAGTTATGCGTTAAATTACATAATATTAGTTGATGGAAAAATGTTGGCTTTAGGCAATGACTTCAAGAATACAAAAGATGTGTAACAAAATTAGTAATAAAAAAAAATAAAAGGAAAAAGTATTTATAAATATTCATTCGGTTGAAAATAATATATATATATATATATATATATATATTGTAAATAATTGTGGTATAATAGTAATGAATATTATGTAGTTTTTTTTTTTTTTATATAGTATACAAATGACAAAAAAACCACATACAAACCTTATTGTCAGACAAAATCGGAAAAGCCGTTGTAATATCTTTCCAATATTGAGATATTAGTTGTGAATCCATTATGGTCAGTATCGGGTAAAGCAGATCATAGACATACTACATTGATTCTATAAATCGCGTACATAGTAATTGTATACAGTCGCCGGTAAACTACAAAATATACGTTTAATTTGCCGGAGTGAACGCAAAACAAAACGGAATTGTTATCACAGACAACTGGCATGAACGTTATCATTGTTTTGGTTACAAGCGCTGTTATCATTCTGTTGGATGGTTAAGATAACAGACCGGTTCCATGGAAATATTCGTGGTTCATGGTGGTAAGTCAAGTGGTGTTGTCCCGGCAGAGCAGCGGTTGCAGAATGACAACCATTGACGTAATGATGACAACTGACAAGTAGCAATGTCTAAATAAAAGTGATTCACATTTTTATGGTTTTGCGTTTAGGGTTATTATCGGAAATGATTTTTCCACCGGATTTCTGGCCGGCTATGAGATCCTCTTAGTTTTTAACGGGGTAAAGAAATTCGAATTTTGTACCTACTTTCCGTGGGCCATAAATTCGTCGGTAGGTGAATAAAATTGTACATTGCAAAATAGGTAGGCACTATAGGTATTAATCTGGATGTTTGTTAAAGCACTATAGTTAAAATATAATTAATTAACCGGGAATTGCCTTCCATATTTTGTAATTAAAAATCATTCACATACAACTTGCTCCTCGCATTAATATAATAATATATAAGTATGTTATTCCTATATTTAACATAAATCGTACATACATCCAACTATCTACGGTCTACCTATAAAGTATAATACGTACCTATTAGTTGTTAATAATAATATGAAATTTTGTTTTTCTCGTTTTAATTTGGTTTTTATTATTTTTGTGTATTACTAAGCATGTGTTATCGTTTTGCCTGTCTGTATGTACTCACGAGTTTACTTTGATATCAATTTTTTTTTTTTGTGTTACCTTCAACTATTACAAATAAATTATGATTTTTTTTTTTTAGCATATGAATGTGTACTTTATTTACAAGACTATCATAATTTATTATTTGTATTAAATTTCTAATTAATATGTTTGTCAGCGGACTAAAAGGGGTCAAATAAATCCTAAACAGCCACACAACATAATCAAATAATGGTTGCATTCTTGGCTACGTCTTGTCTGCTCCAAATTTCCATTGAATATTGATCTTTGTCAATATATCCATTTTTTTTTTACAGGTACCAGTTATGTAAAATATATATTACCTATGTAATGCGTATGGAATATTTTGTAAAATCCTTTTTTTCACGACGTTACGTATAACCGTATAAAGTACTAAAAAAAAATCTATTAAATCCGACGTATAAAATTAGTAATTGAATAAACCAAATAGGCGTACAATATGAACTGCAACGACAAAGAAATAATTTATATTGGCATTAATATAATCGAAATGGTAAAATATATCAAATTTTTTTTGTTATTGTGTCGCTGACGATTTAGCTTTTTCAGAGCTGTCACTTTGTTCGTCGCCATTGTTTAATTCTGAGATATTTTTTTCGTAGATCACTTGTTGGTACTTGCACGTTTCCATAAACCACAACACTTCAATACCTATGCAATTTGTGAAAATTCATCATTAGTAATGCTACTCGCATTAGTGGGTGTTAATAGAACCATTTTTGAACTATTGTTTCCTATTAGAATATAGGAAACTAAACAAAACTAAATGGAATTCAATTCCTATTAGTTGTGTGTTTACAGTTAATGTTTTGCGATTGAATTGTAACGGTTACCTTATCTAATTAAATTATTACAAAACCTACACATTTAGAGTAATATTATGTGCTTGGTTGTGGCATAATAATATGTATTATTAATTATTACTATTTGTAAGGTACGTCGGTGCCGGGCAAGCAATAATAATTAATATTGTTCCTAAGAATATTGTGTTTGTTTGGAGAACTTGTCGTCTTAGTAAATACTTACTCGCCGATAACCATTTTACTGACGGTAACCGTTTAATTTTTATTTTACCATTTACTTACTCGGATAATAATTTGTTGACGAATTTAGTTTAAACTTAATTTGGATAATTATTATAAGGGTCACCTTACTATAGTGATACTCGCGTGTATCGCGGTTGTTAATATATTTTTACTACATCACAGTGTATATGGTCGGCACGTACACGAAAAAAATATGCTCCAAAGAAAAAATGCGATTCGACGAAACAGTAATTCTTCTATACTGTAAATATATCTAGAATAATACAGATATACGTATCTATTAGTATACATTTATCTACTGTAAAAATTGCCGAGCACAAAAAATGTCGTCCCCAAAGGAAAGCTGGGTTTACACGAGGAGTGAACCACGAGAGTGGTTTCAAAAAGTGTCACACGAAACGTGAAGATGTTGTTTACACGGGAACACAATTTTCGTTAAAATTATTATCAACAAATACATAATATTATAGTACACCACGATTGTGCTTTTACGACTGAAATATCCAACAAGGTTTGATTTTGTACGAACCAGTCGTGACAGGACTGTGGTGCACTCCTCGTGTAAAACCAGCTTACAACGGTGAAAACAATTATTATTATTTTCGTGGACATTTTTCTATTTGGAAACGTTTACCTTATATATGCCGTATACATATTGCATTGGACTTACGCGGTGTATAATTTCGATATTGCTATGTCGTAAATAACGAATTTCTGTAAGCACAAAAACTCTATGAATAATAGATGTCTGATTATGAAACACAGTTCAAAACACTCGCCAAATTCGTCGCCGTCGTTTGAAGTTTCCGTGTGCTGAGAAAATGAACAAAAAAAAAAACAACCTTTCGTTTAAGAATGAAATTACATTAAATAATAGTCAATACTAAGAACTAATGGTTTTTCAGCGACTTGTGATATTATTTTTCAACTTTTTCGTTCCGTCAGCCGTAAAAATGTACACATTGGCACAATATAGAAACGACGATTTCCACGAATACAAGTTCAAATAGAAATCTGAAAGAATGAGATTCTAACCCTATTTCCACGAATAGGTAAATGGAAGTAAAGCATTTATTTTCCCTGCTTCAATAAACGCACATAGTGTGTGTAGGTACACGAAAATGAGATTGCAATGTAAACGTTTCGTTTCAAAATGTGATTTTTTTTTTGTTTACTACGAAAACAAGAATTATAAAACAACAAACGGAACGAAAAACAATTTTTATTCTTCAGATTCAACACTCATTTGTTGTTCAGTGACCTAAATAATTATTAATCAAAAATGGCGAAAAGATGTATGTATTTGCATAGTTCACCACAAGCACGTTATCAGCCTCCATCTTTTAGTTTTGCAAAATGTAGGAATTCAATTATTTTTAATTAAATAATAAGGTAAACATAAATATTATGATAATTTTTTTAATTATGAATTCTCGCGGCGAACGGTTTGATTAAGTGTTGAAAAAATAAATTTCAAAAGTATTCAATTACAAAATATACACAATTTAAATTGCTTTCAAAATTACTAAGAAAAAAATATTTTATCACAAAGGCAGATAGTTTTTGAAAATATAAACTCTAACTATTAAAAAATGTTAATATAAAAATCTGAACCCCTAAAATTCTATCAATAACATTTTAATTTAATTATAAAATACCTTCACCAATTCTAAAAAACGACAATGTCACAGAATTTTTAAAATAAAAAAGTAATTATCAAAATACATACCTACTTCTTTCCAATTGTAAAATGTATGTTTAAAAATGTTTGCTTAATGTTAAGTTTTAGCAAAAAAATGCCTATACAATGCTTCCATAATGTCCTACACTAGATTTCTCTTAAAGTAATTGTAATTTATTTGTTTTTGTTATTGAAAAAAAATGTTTGTCTACAATATTATAAAACTACCAAATATTTTTCTTTTTTTATTACTTTCCAGACCTTCATTGATTTTTGAAACTCAAATGGTAACGTATATAATTAATTGACTTTTCAAATTAAGAACGAAACGCTTACTTCTTCGAACACGAAAACAAAGGTCGCCAAGTTGGTGATCAGCAAGTAAGCCATGATGTACAGCAAATAATAAAAACCTGGATCTGTGAGGCCAATAATGATATTATTATTTCTAAACTGGTGCGTACATTATGTGTTCGCAGTATTATATAAATTATAATAATGTGAATTATTGAGATTTATGTTTAGTGTATATTTTACCGTTAAAATCACTTGGCCAGGGTCGAGTGAACATTATAGCAATGAAAAATATAATTCCTTGGACCTGCGGGTGAATATAATAAATTATTGGAAAATAAACGGAAAAGGTGTTTTTCCATAAATACATTTATGTATTGGCTTTGCTGTGAGTTATGACTTAAGACGCCGAAACTGTAGTTTTACAGTGACAAATATTAAGGTAATGTTGGGTACTTTGGAGTTTTCAAATATGCAAATCTTTTCAAAAATCAGATAAAAATGAATCAGTGAGTGGTATGTTGTAAAACATATATTTAAATCAAAGTCATTTGTGTTTTTTTTTTATACTTTGGAACCCCTGACAGCAGTATTGACTTACAAATGATATTTTCGAGTATGCATAAATTGAATTTTTGATTTTTTGAAATGGCTTCGATCTTCTTGGTATAAGATAGCAGTAATACATTTTGACGAAAAATCTAAATAACTATATGTTATCCACTGTTGATTTTCTTCGAGTTACTTTAGTAACCTTGCGCGGCGAACGTAAAAAACATTATATTTTTTCATTAATGTTCATCTAAAATACAAACTTTTTTTTAGTAATTTATTATTGAATTATACACACTATGTATTTTTTGTTGTTAATTTATTGATTTACAGCTGTGTAGACAATAGGCCCGCATTCAAAATTTATAATTTTCTAAACGCACATTCGCTTTATCCCAGTTTTCCTTAACAACATAACAATAGGTATGATATTATTTGTAACTATAGTATTTGTACAAAGCCGTATCGATTTCAGTGTACAAATTAAAACACAATTGCCTCGGACCAGTGGGTGTTGTTCCGTGCTTGTACGGTGACGTTTCGAAAGTCGAAACCAATACTTGCTACAGGCTGATTGTTTCGCGATAATTGGGTTTGATTTGGGTATGATTGTTATTGCCGTTTGTTCTGCAACGGATTAAGAAAAGGCTCTACGACCGATTGTGTTCCTTAATTTGCCACCG